ATAAATTACGATGTTGTATATATAGAGAGTCACTTCAATAATATAAAAAAATACACAATTACACACTTTTAATGTGAAGGCAAGAAAACGTTGATGTGCAGCTTAAAGCAAGAAAAACGATGCAAATAAAGTGAGAAAAATGAAAACCAAAGACGTCCGTCTGTTTAATGTTGATCGTAAGATGAAAATATCCCGTGAACACGAGAAGCCCATCTGCTCCATCACTCGCGTCTTCACGTGACTGGAGGTCAAAGGTCATCTGTTGGTCCTCCGGCTGTTTGCTGAGCCGAGCTTCTGAAGGTGCTTGAATCCAGCTTTAATGAGCTGATGGCATGAGTTTCCTCCTCCACATCTTCGCTCAGACCATTCACTGATTCGCTTTTAATTGTTGTCTTAACGCTCCTGCAAACAATAGCCAACGAGGACCAAAGCACAAGGGAGAGTCTGCAGAAACAGGGCGACTGCGGTGTTGTAAACATCATTAAAATCTGAGGCGTCCCAGAGCTGGTCTGCTTTCTCACAGTTCAGCTCTCTCCATGAAGATGAAGCTTGTTAGCGCAGAATGAACATGTTTCTTCCGTGGGTCCAGCTCAGAACTCAAGAGACACTCTTGATTCACTAACAAACGACTCTTTTGAGTCTGTAGTTTTCAGTTAATCAAAAGAACCATTTCAACTGAATCCATGAGGAGTTGCTTGGATGTGAAGCGGTGAATCCTTCACAATCACTCCAGGAAGATGAATGAAGAGTCATTTTGATTTCATGTTGACTTGAAACGAAGAATCGGTGAGTCTGAACACAGTCTCTCTGCAGTCAGTGACTCTGAGCTGATGGAGAAGCATCACTAGAAGAGCTTCACTGGACGAGCTGGACTCAAACGGATAGTTCCCATAAAATGAAAATGTAGTCATTATTTACTCTCTCCAGTCTGCTGTTGTATTTTTCAAAGCATGAATGTGGTCACCATTCACTGCCATTATATGAATGTGCATGAGCAGGACATTCCTTAAAACTTCTCCATTTGTGTTCAAAAAAGCAGGAGAGAAGGTCAGATGTGTTCAGTGAGTAAATAATGACAGAACTTTCACATTCGGGTCAACTAGCACTGTAAAGTCTAACTGCGTTTTGTCATGAAATGCTGCATTTGGTGTCTCGTCATTCCTTCAGTGCTTTATTTAAAGTAGTCAGACTGCAATCAGACTAAAGAGCACAATCAGAATTACAATCGGAATAAAGGCGCAAATTGCTTGCCGCATTACTCTGGATCAGTGGAGATTTCTCAGCAGAATTATGGGTAATGTAGTTCTTCACCAGCAATTCTGCTGTTAAACTTTATATAAATAATGCGTTGAAATAATGCAGCTTTATGACAAAAGCATATAGCATCGATTAACAAACAATAGAAGGTTTATAGGTTTATAAGTTATCATTAAAAATCAGTTCCCCAATGGAGAAAATGAATGGGGTTTTTACTTCCAGAACCGACTCAATGAGAGGATCATCCTACATTCAGACAGAAACACAGTACGGCTCCGCTCTAATTAACTTGAGAAAGATTACAGAGATGCCCAGATGCTCACTAGTAAGTGACCTACAGCACAGAAGAGTCATTCTGAGATTAATGGAGCGTATCTGCAGCGAACGGCCCACCCAGGAGCATCTGCGCGGGCCGTTCATCAGCCGTGAGTGAGTGTCAGCGCTCGAGACGGCTCCCACAAACACAAACCGACCCGCATCGACGACTGAATGAAGTTATGATCACCAATACAGCACAGTTTTCCAGCGCAAACATCTAAACATTCCTAAATCATTGACAGGAGATTCAAAATGACAAAAGATGAAAAAATTCACCAAGAGAAACTCATCAAAATAAAGCAAGGTTATGACTAAAATGAGAACAAATATCCACCAATGATGACACTTTTTATTGAATCAAGGCTTGTGGAAACTAATAGAGTAAAACAAACTATGAGAATCTGACCTGCTTCACTTTTATTCTTCATAATGATGCCCTCGTTTCTGAAACTCAAACTGCAGAACTGGAGAACACAGACGTGTGTGTGTGTGTGTGTGTGTGTGTGAGTGTATGTGTGTGTGTGTGTGTGTGTGTGTGTGAGATCACACACAAGCACACGAGCATGAGGTGAGAAAGCAGCGATGGCTAACAGAGTGAGGGTCAACGCCAACAACAGCCTGAGAGCCTCTATCTGTCCTTCATCACACACCCCGAGAGACAATTACTGGAGAGAGTGAGAAAACCGGTCAGTAATTGATCTCAGAGAGACGGGCTGCTGATTTGGGGTGAATATTTGAGGAACAAACTGGAGCTCCAGAGAAATCCAGACGAGAAACAGTCTGTCTGATTAAGTTATCTATAGACTAACAAGGAGAGACACATCCAACTGATATAACGATAGATAGATAGATAGATGGCCAATTACAACAGATTTACACAATAGGGTCTTCAAAAGAACACACACACACACACTCATATCCCATCTGCCATTGCAGATGCTATTTGTTGCATTATTTTTATGTGCATGGTGTGTGTATCTGAAATTAATTTTACTCCCTCTTTTTTAAACAAAACTACCAATACACTGGAGAGGTCTGAGTTAACGAAGTATTTTGCGGTAAATAAAAGCTGCATGTTTACCCAGAAGCCCCACTCATTTGCATATGGAGTATGTATGTATATCTATGAGCACACATGTCGTTTCCCACAATCCCCTGCAGCTTCCCCTCATCACTCCAGCTTTATATCAGCCCTGACTGAAAAGAGCAGGTGTTTCTACTTGTTCAGGTTAAAAATCCTCCCACACACTGTCCAAACTGCCTATAAGACTTCAGAACTGAGATGAGAGATACATAGAGCTCAGAAAACTCCTCTCACAGACTCATCAGCGCTCACAAGCACAGCAGATGGGAACACTGTCTCCAAAAGACCTCAACCTACCAACAACATCTGATGCCATCTCTATAAGCCCCACCCTCAGATTTACACCATTCACTGTAAGGCCCGCTTTAAAATATAAACCAGTCACTGTAAGCCCCGCCTTCAAACTTACACCAGTCAATGTAAGCCAAGCTCTAAAATTTACACCATTCATTGTAAGCCCCGCCTTCAAATTTACACCAGTCACTGTAAGCCCCGCCCTAAAATATACTCCAGCCCGTCCCTTCAGGCCCCACCTCCATGGAGTGCCACACCCCCCATATGTTAGCCCCGCCCCTTCAGTCCCCAGGCATGGTTCTTACTATGTGAAGCTCCAGATAGTCTCCGAGACCCTTGGCGCTCTCCACCCGCACCAGAATGGCCTCCTTCAGCTGAGTGCTGAAGCCCACAGCCAGCCGGTCTGCCCGCGTGCTCGGCCGGTCGTTCGGGGGCCACGTGTACGTGATGAGGGCTCCTCCACGGCCGAAGATGTAGGTCGTCCCAGCTGAAACAGACAGACAGAGACACAAACACACAATCAGTGACAGAATGTTTCAGAGAGCATCATTCTAGCAGCCAAGACTGAAAGAGCAGCTGAAGGTCACTGCATCTCTGCTCAGGCGTCACGCTCTCTGCTGTAATGAGGCACTGCCGAGCTTCCATCTGCTTTAATCGTGTGTGTGTGAACGGAGCCGCTGTGTTGACGCTCATGACTGATTGTGTTCAAGAGACTTTCCAAACGTTTGGCTCTGCGGGTCTGAGATCAAGTGCCAATCAGCACCTGAGAACGGAGGCCTAATGGACCTTCATCAGAGCTGAAGCCTGACTTCATATGACTCGAGCTCTCCAGTGAGCCAACGAAGCACTGAAAATACATCTCTGACAAACAAACACACTCCGTAGAGATGAAACGATTCCTCATGATGATAATTAATAACAACTTTAATTAATACATGCTGTTGACAAAAAAGAAAAATGTAGATAGAGATTTTACTGTATTTTTGATCAAATAAATGCAGCCTTGGTGAGCAGTAGGGGTGTGACAAAATATCGATATGGAAATATATCGTTGTCCTCCTCTGTGCGATACGAGAATCGATACGCTGGCGCCAAATATTGATGTTTTAATTAATACAATAAGGCGCTCTAAATAGATTTCCCTGCTCCCAGTGTCTTTACTTCATGGCTCCTTGAGGTGGCGCTCAACACATGAATGAGGGGAAACGTGAACATAAGTTAACTACGTTTTTAACGGGATGGTGGACAGCAGTAAGGAAAATAACAGATGCCCCAGCCACGTTTAAGTCCAAAGTCTGGAGCCACCTCGGCTTTTATACCATTGATGGGACAAACAAAATCGAAAAAGAGTAGGCGATATGCAAGAACTGCCTGGTGAAAGCACACTCGCTGAGAAAGCGGCTAATGCTAACGTTGCAAGTAGGGGTGTGCACTATCATGATTTTTGATCGTGGACGATTAAAATGTCTCCACGATCTGCTTTTGAAGGAATATGGTAGTATCGCTACAGCAGAGTATCAGTTCTGGCGTCTCCGTCTCAATCTACTGAACAACGACACATACATTCACATCAGATGTTACTCAGCGGTAGAGTCACACTCACCAACACTGGACTTATTCACAATCACAAACACTACATTATTACATCTGCTTTAAAGCCTTTCGGTTAAACGTTTCATTCTCGTGCTGTTCTGACATGTGCTTTTTCTGACCGAGTACACCTGAAGCGCGTGCACTAAAAACCCTGTCAAACAGCGGCGTTACACCAGAGTTATCTTTCACGTCTTATTGCACTAATACTGTCAAAAACACACAAGATTAGTTATGTCTAAAGTGAAAGTAAACAGTTGAGAGAGAAAGGGATGCACACCTGTATATTAGATGAGTGCAGCTCTTAAAGTGACAGCAGCCTAATAGCACTAATTCTGCTGCTTGTCATTAAACGGACAGTTCACCCAAAATTAAAATTCTTATTTACTCACTCTCATGTTGTCCCAAACCTGCATTAATTTCTTTCTTGTGCTAGACACAAAAGAAGATATTTTGAAGAATGTGGGAAACCAAACAGTTTCTGGTCCCCATTGACTTTGATAGTAGGAAAAAAATACTATGGAAGTCACTGGGGACCAGCAACTGTTTGGTTCCCCACATCCTTCAAAATAATTTTTATATTTAACAGAAGAAAGAAACTCATTGAGGTTTAAAACAGCTTGAGAGAGAGTAAATGATGACAGGTTTTCATTTTTGCAGATTTTTTGCAGGATTTTCAGCAGTTTGGTCTTGAATAAAGAGAGAAAACATGCACTTAACCTTTTCACGGGCATTTTGTTTTCATAGACAGATATCGTGATGTATCATTATAGGATTGTCTAGCAATATATTGATTAGTGCAGAATTGCAGTATCGTGATATTATCGGTATTGTGAGCCATGCATCCTGTATCGTATCGTGAGGTACCCACCCCTAGTGAGCAGAAATCATCAAAAACTGTGTAAAAATTAACACTGATTAACTATTTCTGCAGTTACGTTTACATTAATGCATTTGGCTGATGGTTTTATTCAAGGTGCATTGCATTGCATTTAAGGTGTACATTTATTTTATGAATTCATGCATTCCCTGGGAATCAAACCCATGACCGTGGTGTCACTGTTATCCAGTGTTACAGGAAAAGCAGCTACAGGGAAGCAATTAACACACGTTCTGACCAGTAACCCGTCTAACACTGACCAATGCCTTCTGAAAATCAGAGCACGTGAAGATGAGAAGCGGTTGAGAATGACAGCGGGTTTAAGCGCTAATAGCTTAACCTGGAAGAATGAAAAGAACAAATTAAAAGGCAGAAATAAAACGAAGCGTCGCCAGCAAGATTTCTAAAGTGCCTCGTGTGACTCGCGAGCAGCAGAACATCAGCCACGCCTCCACAATTACAGCCTGGCCGAGAAACGCTGTCACAGCCCAGCCGTTCAGATACTAGCAACCGTTTTGCATTGATTCGGAGCCCAGTCTCAATCGCTCCTCTAGCTTCCCTCGGGCTACAGCCGCTTCACACTCGTGCTGCTGGTTGTAGTATCTGACAACCGACTAATTATCAGAGGAAAAAAACATCAGAGAAACACAAGAGCCTCATGGGAACCAGAGCGAGGAGGAGGAGAGAGGAAGGCAGGACTGAACTGTTTTAGAAGGAAAAACAAAAGCAGGATGAGATCGAGACACCGTTTCCTATCATAACGTCTCTGTTCATGAAGCGATGTCACACAAACCTGTTCTCAGAACGCAAAAACAAAGAGAGAGTGTAAAAAAGGCTGCCGGGAAAGGAGGGAAGACATGTCTCTCTCTCATGAAGCGAGCCGCAGGGATGCACATCCACCACAGCTTTATTGTGCTCAACTCATTCTCACTCCATCACACACACACACACACACTCGACTGACTGACAGACAGGCGTCTGAGTGAATGAACTCGTGTGTGTCTGTGAATGTCATGCTGTCAGTGAGATGCTCTGAGTGCTCAAATCACTGTATGCACGAACAAAACAGCTTTAAAAAGTTTATTATTGATCATTTGAGCTCACTCACTCACTCACTCACACACACACTCACACACTCACACACACACACACACACACACACACCAAATCACTGTATGCACGAACAAAACAGCTTTAAAAAGTTTATTATTGATCATTTGAGCTCACTCACTCACTCACTCACACACACACTCACACACTCACACACACACACACACACACTCACACACACACACACACTCACTCACGCACGCATGCACACTCACACACTCACTCACACTCACTCACGCACGCATGCACACTCACACACACACACACACACACTCACACACACACACACACTCACTCACGCACGCATGCACACTCACACACTCACTCACACTCACTCACGCACGCATGCACACTCACACACACACACACACACACACCATTGGACCTCATTGACTTTCATTATATGAACAAAAAACACTGCAACATTTCTCAAAATACCTCAAAAACATCTATGTTCCACAGGTTTGAAAAACATGAGGGAGAGTAAATGATGACACAATGATCATTTGTGGCTGAACTGTCCCTTTAAATGTCATTTCAAATATCAAGACTTCATATGATTATCAATATCAAGCCAGAAAGCAGCAGCAACTGAAGTGAGGAAATGTGAAGAGCTGAGATCCTGATCAATGAAGTGCTCTTCACGCTTCAAACACACACCTTTTAATTTCAGCTTAATTTTTTAGTAATTCTGTTAAGTGCTTTTGTCATTTTTTTTGCTGTTATTATATTAATTTATTTTTATTTCAATTATTTTTAATTTCAGATATTATTATTTATTTCCAGATTCAGTTGTGATTTTTTTCCAGTTAATTGTAATGCAATATAAACTTATTTTAGTTAACTGCCAAGTAATTTTTTTTTCATGTCATTAATACATTTTAATTCAATTTGAAATAGCATGCAGTTTTGTGTCCACAAACATTAAATTCAGTTCACGCTTTAGCATTCGCATTTAAAGGATATTAATGTAAAGTATATTTCCATAAGAGGTACACTTTTTGAAATGCAGTTGTTTTTCACAAGGGTGCACTAGTTTAGTTTCATGTAATTAAAAAAGCTTTCACATCGCTCCCGCTCCGGCCCTGCGTGGCCATTAAAACACTGGGCTTTATTAAAATTTGAAGAAGCACACAGAATCTGAATGTGGAGACCCGGACTGCCTCGGCAGGACTCAGCCTGTAATGGGGTTTTGCTAAATAAAACATCCAGTGCGGATAAACAACACAAGATGGATGAAATATTGAAATGGCGCACACTTCATGTCCTCATGCTAATGCCAAACGCTTCAGTTAGTGCAGAGTTCAAATCATCTCTGAGCAAATGAACTGTGAGAACTGTCAGCAGACAGAATCAAACACACTGAAGACATGAAATAAGACCTGGTGTGTGACGTCAGAACGAGACGAAACAGAGAAAACATTCATTACAGATACAGTGATGAACTCTGAGCATTAATGATCAACTGATTAGCAGACCAGTGGACGACTGAGTCCTTCACCAACCACGCCTGACCATATACTACTGACTCAGAAAGATATTTAGATTTATTGATTTTTGTTGTTGTAAGAAATCAATACTTTTGTTCATCAAAGAAGCATTAAATTGTTCAAAAGTGCATTTATAATGTTCCAAAAGATTTCTGTTTCAAATAAATGCTGTTCTTCTGAACTTTCTGTTTAATAATAATAATACTATTTCACTGTTTTTACTGTTCACTCACACGTGCAGCAGGTCATTCAGGTTTTTCATGCATCATGAAACGTCACATACTGTAAAGTTTATATACTGTAAACAGTACGAGCAGCGTAACAGTCATCATTAGATCATTAGAGTCAGGGGAACGGAGGAGCTCCAGAGACGCTCTGAAGAAAGAAGCAGAAACAATAAAGACGCCAGCGAGAGGA